TATTGGGAAGTGAGGAATTTATATTCTTATATTTGAAGTCGGTAAATCGCTATTTTATCTTCTCAAATCAGATTTCGGTAAGTCGAATGATGTTTCGATTTCACGCATACTAACGGCATGCTCTTGATGAATATAATATGCACATTATCGGTGTAATATCTCCTACAATTTCCTCTTCAATCGCAGAGGGAGCTTTGTCTGACCACCTGCATATTTAACAAACAAAATGCAGTGCAGGGTCAGTAAATAAAATCAATAATCTCGTATGTATACATTGCAAGTCAGAAACCGAGTGAAGGGACACACTCAACCATGCGAGGCGCAATACGTGGAGAACTTTTATGACTGTTCAAGAGTTGGTTGTTAGTAGTTTCACTAACAATAAATCTTTTTAGTACTGCTATTAGGATGACAGTTAGAACATCGAAGATGGCGCTGCACATTGGGTCATTGAGGTTGCGAAATTCGGCATGTGACAAGAACCGATTGAGTGAAAGAAAAATTCCAACGCCAACAAAGCTGAACGCAGATTGACACCAGAAATAGATACGGCTTTGTTTTTGTTCTTTCTTCTTTTCTCTGGTTGGCATATCCTTCGCCAGAAACGCTTTCAACGATCTCTCTTCTTGTACTGTTGTCCAAGTTGTTAGCAACACCATCTGGCAAAGATTTGGAAGCACTTTATTTGTATTCCGCTCTGTTTCCGGAAAGAGAAGCACTCCCTACAAAAAGTCGATTGATTCAGAAAATTCATGAATAAGACAGATTGAGCATCATTTGAGAGTGAAAAAAAGTGGTGGATTTAATGTTAATCTCTCATTAGTCATTACTACTCACAAAGATGTAAGATATGGTGGAGCAAACCACCAATTTGAAGCGGCCCGGATAGTTGTCCAATGTAATAGCAAATAAAATTTGCAGAAATGTCAAGGTTCTTCCCTGTAAATTTACAGCTTTAGCCGATTTTGGCAAGTCTCATAAACCTGGAGATAAGTGATCAATATATTTACCAGCACATGGCCTTCGAAACTGATGCCCAATGTAATGACTACAGAAATTTAAACTGAAGTGTTAGAAACTAGGAAATGTGAAATATTACACTTCAGAATGAGCTACAGATACTATAATTTACCACTTATAAACGCCAGTACATCATTTAATGATATAAAGTAGTAAAAAAGCTTTTTCGAACACCATATGATTATCCTCATAATTGGTATGTGCCATACAACTCGGAGATAAGTGGCCAATAGGCACAATCTATGGCGCAGCGACCGCATAAGCTCAGTGAAGACAAGCATGAGACCTACAGAAATTTAAGCTAAGTGTTAGAAATTAGGAAGAAATAATCAGAATCAGATGCAGAAACTATAATTATACTTAATTTACCCCAATAAACTATTTCATCCATTAAGTGAAAACCGTGGCAAACAAAAAGCATGTTCAAACACCAGTTGATTATCCTCATAATGGGGCTTGAATCGATTCCACTGCTACAAAGAAAGAAATCTGATTGGTCTTTTACTTCTTGAGAATCAGGGCACGAATCGGCTATATTTAAGGTTGGAATTGATGAAGTTAGAAGGAAACTTCCTTAAATGTTATCAGAATAAATTATTTGTAATTTTTATTTTGTTCCTAATGGAATTTTTGGATACCATTACTTGGAAGCCTCCCTCCCTCGATTAATGCATGCATTCACACAAATCCATGTATCTCTTTCCATTTGAAAGCAATATATTTACGCGTTAATTACATATTTCATTAAAGAAGGAACAATGTTGTGAATCAACAAAATGGCCAACGTCAATCAATTTTAATTGTCTACGTGAAATATAAGTCATATACATGTATATATCACTGAAATTGATTTACTACCCCCAATGAGCAGAATAAAAAAATTTCACTGTTAGATGTGCCAAGAGAACCTTAATTACGATTCTCGGAATTTGAGAAAACCAAAAGTAATGTTCTATTGTCACGTCAGCAATGAGAAGTTTTTATTTCCTCCACTGTGTATAGGAGATCGGGCATGTATATATCATCGCATTTTTGTTTAAACTTTTAAATCTTAACAATATGATCCTAAACATTTGCATTATTCGCACAACTGATTCATCTAAATAGATTTTGACAATAGCTTTATTTTACAAGAAAACCAAGAGTACATGTATATAGACGTTGATTTGACAAAATGTGATTGTACTATTTTTTCTTTTTTTTTCCCATGTTCCAATGATGTCTCGTTTGTCAAAAAATTTTGTACTTATAGCATGATTGTTTATTTTGTCAATTGTTTCTCTAAAAGAAGCATTTTAAGCACCGTAGCCTAAATAATTACTTTGTAGAGAATGAAAAAAATATAGCAAGTGTGGTATATGCATTTCAAAAAAATAAGAGATTATGTTTAGCTTTGATACATATTTTCTAAAAAGCAAACTTTGACACTCCTTTCATCCCATAAATATAGACTTATTTCTATTTTTATACAGATTAAGGAAATGTAATTAATGTAGTTGAATATATAATTGTTTCTAATATATACCCTACATTAAGTAATTAAATATGAGTAGTTGATATTTGTTGAAACAAAGCAAATTAAATATGGGTATATTAGAAAATTAATAAATTATATATACTCTCGACAAGGAAACTGACGGGACAGATAAAAAAGAAAAGCAAATATTTAATGTGCCTGGTTTCTTGGATTTCTTTTAAAATATTTTAAAAGCAATATATTTAATATTTTATATGTTTCATGGGGAATGGTTCATCTATACTAAGGGCTTCTTCCATGATAAATGATTCATTCATTGAAGACTGTCTTCTATATTTAATTTTTTATATGTTGTACGTATATAAATTTTATGCTCTCTATAAAAATCTTCATAATTTCCGATGGATGTTTACCGGGTCAAAATAATTTTTGCAACTAACTGCATGACCGGAAAAAATACACCGACTCACTAAAAATTTCTCGAACTTTCCAAAAGTCATTTTTTCCTAATTTTAAGTTTATATTTATAAAATTATTTAGTTGTTCCATTATTTATTACTTGTTGAAAATTAAGGCATGTATTGTTGGGAATCTACTTAATCATGCACAGCGGAA